AGCATAACCTAGCAGTAGACATTTGTGACCTCTGGAAATCCCCCAGGTACTTAACCATGCGGTTGGCCACCTACCAGAATGTCTCCTATTTCCTCAAAGCAGCCCATTTCTATCATCCACTCCTTCTCTGGCTGAAGAGAAAAACTGAAGAGTCCTTCCCGGGATCCTCCTGGGATGTTTCCCCATTTTCTTGTTGGTCGGTCCCAAACTTGTGGTTATACTGAGTGGTTGTGGTACATTTTACCACTCATAAGATTGAAAACCATAAAAAAAATCACTGAACTGTCCCACGCTAGTAAAGTTCAGCACTTTGAGGCACTGCTTTCACGGAGCCTGTTTGCCATGGATCCATTTACTGTGTCACGAACCTCTCTTACTTTTCATAATATGAAGCGAACGCAACTTAAGGGTACAAGTTGTAGAGACTCCAGTGTGTAGAGCCCTGTGTGAAAGTCACGAGAACTGTATCATCATTGCTCTTGTTCTTTTTTATTTACTCTGTGTTCTCTCTTTTAGGCACTGTTAGCTGTCTTACACCAGAACAAAAAGTTAGTTATGATTTTTTCAAGGAGCACATCTCTATCCTTTAGGACACTTTATTATTTATTTATTGATTGATTGAGACAGGGTCTCTCTCACTTTGTAATTCAGGCTGTCCTTGAACTCACTATGTAGCCCAGGCAGACTTCAAACTCATGGAGATCCTCCTGACTCAGCTTCCTAGTGCTTGGATAACAGGTTGCATCACCACACCCTGCACTTATTTTAAGTTCTTGGAAAGAACCAAGGGTGATGCCTGTCAAGATGCAGACCTATAGAAGACTAGCATGCACAAAGTGAAACCTTAGTATTACAAGTAGACTTCAGAAACAAGTCTCATTTTCTAATAGCAAGTATTGTTCTGGACTGGGAAGATAGCTCAGCACTCTAAGCACCTGCCTGGTAAATACAAGGACCCAGGTTTGATCTCTGGTACCATGTGCTGTGCTAGCCCCAGAACCCCAGGTATGTCTTGCCAGCCACCAAAATCAGGTGTGGTGGCACATGCCTATAATCCCAGCTTTGGGGAAGCTAAGGCAGGAGGATTACTATGAGTCCTGTGTAGCAAGATCCTGTACCAAATAAACAAATAAATAAATATTTTTCAAATTTTTTTTAAAATATGGGGTTTTTTTCTCAACAAGTGAATCTCATAAGCCCAGAGATTCAAAGTGACCTGAGCAATAGTCTCAAAAATTTTCCTAATAGGTCCATTCTTTCTAACCCATTTATTTTTAAATTTTGGATACATATCCTTCACCAGAACTTATTAACGAAACAATGAATACATCCTTTACGTCCCTTGAGCCTCTGGCACATGCTTTCTCTTTCTGTATACCAGAGTTCATGCATCTCCACTTCTTTACTCAAGGCAGATATAGGCATGCATTCCCTCATTAAATTCTTTAAAGGTTTTACTTTGCTCCATGGTGACTTGTATCCTACAGCTTTCTCCCTTTCTTCAGTCTAAATTTTCCTTGCTCCCCTTAGCTGTGTTCCCTCCCTCCTGTGGCTCTGCTGAGTGGCTCACTTTGGCTTATTAACTCAGACCTCAGGAACTCCTTGGCCTCTGGCTAGCTCAGTTTCCTCAGAGGCATTTGAGCTTGCCTCCCACTTATGTTCATGTTGGCCTTGATTCAGTGCTTGGTGCTCATTTGCCTTGAAATTCAACCTCCTCATGAGTATCCTGCTTCTCAAGCAGCTGGCAACTAAGAAGAGTCCACACATAAGCATCTTCTCTAGGACCTGCCTGAGTGCTCCTTGAGGTCTGGATAAACAAATAAGCATAACAACTGGCAGTCAGATTGTTTCATTCTTGGTTCTGTAACAAAGCAAGCAAGAATGGCCACTCAGCTGGGCATGGTGGTGCACACCTGCAATCGCAGCACCTGGCGACTGAGACAGAAGAATTGAAGTGAAATTGAGGCCAGGTGGCTACAAAGTGAGTTCCAGGCCAGCCTGAACTGCACAGCAAGACCCTATCTCAAAAGCAAACAAGAAAAGAAGGAAGGGAAGGGAAAGGGAAAGGGAAAGGAAAAGGGAAAGGAAAAGGAAAAGGAAAAGGAAAAGGAAAAGGAAAAGGAAAAGGAAAAAGAAAAGGAAAAGGAAAAGGAAAAGGAAAAGGAAAAGGAAAAAGAAAAGGAAAAGGAAAAGGAAAAGGAAAAGGAAAAGGAAAAGGAAAAGGAAAAGGAAAAGGAAAAGAAATTTCCACTCAGGCACCAGCCAGATAGCTCAACAGATCAAAGCACCTACTTAGGCAGATGCAGGGACTAGGGGTTTGATCTCCCTGCGTGCCATGCCAGACCAAGCTCTGTGGCCAGCTCAGCCTGACCTGGGGTTGGGTGGGGGTCCTGGCGTGGCATCCCTGAACTTGCCTAAGCTTGCCTAAGCAGGTGCTTTAATCCTCTGAGCTGTCCTGCTGGCCCCTCTTTCTGTGTTCTTTAGTAAATCACTTGTAAATATTTTTTAAAATAAATAAACTTCACCAAATATATTTTTAACACCAACTACTTATGTTGCTATTTATTGTGCCCAGCTGGGTAATTCTTGTCCCTTTAATGGATTGCGTTAATATTTTCTATAAAATACTCTTTTATAATGTATTTGGCACAGGGTCTTATTACACAGCTTGGACTCATAGTGATCCTCCTGTTGGCTCTAGGATTACAGGCATGCACTCCCATACCCAGCCTCAGCAGTCAGCTCAGCACGACCAGGCCGTGGGGCCAGCATGGCATGTGGTGCTGGGGATCCTGGTTCCTGCATTTGCCCAAACAAGTGCTTAGTCCGCTGAGCTATCTCACCATAAAATACTTTAACACTGTATGCTTGGGTATTTTCCTGAATGTTTTATAGAATTAGCACTTCTGATGTGGTTTCACTCATTAATCTTTTTTTAAAAGAGGTTTCTTTTCCATGTTTCATTTTGCATACATCAGTATTTTCAAGTATCTCCTATCACTACTATGACAGGGTTTTGAGGTTGCAGACATACAATATAGTCACTTACCTTCCATGCTATATGACACTAGCACACATAAAAGTTACACTTATTTGCAAAAATAAAACAAAATTATAATATTACCCTAAAAAATTTTTTTGGAGAAAGTATTATCATAGTTACTATAAGCACTTTATTTACAGGGTCCATTATGGGGCAGAATTTATGTACCTGGGCAAGGATAATTTCCAAGATCAGGCAAAACCTATGATAATGATTAAGATTCATGTAATGTGTCCAAAAATGAAGGTGGGCTTTAGGAATAAACATGTACTCAAAAGAAAGAGAAGAAAAGATATGCACTTCCAGAAAGGTCTGAGTGCCCAAAACTTATCCCACAGACACATTGTATAGTAAAGTGTTTCTCAGCAACTCTAATTTAGAATAACTCTTTAGAAATAAGAGTTAGCCTATAGAAAGTGCAAAATGTAGTTTCTCTTGCTATAAAGGCTAAGGATATAAATATTTAGATGTCATAGTGTATGAAGGATGGTGAAGTAGTAAAATAAAAGATTTTAAAAATTTAAAAATAAGAAGAAAAGGAAAACATGGAAACAAAGCTTTTGTAAACAAGGAGAGTAGGAGGGGCTGAAGGAAGGGTAGGGGCATGGGAAAAAAAATTCTATCGTGTACAGGTACAAGTTCTCTATAATGAATTTGATCATTATGTATATCTAAAATGTACCAATAAAATCTGATTGGCAAAAAAAGTATTTTACATTGTTTATCCCCATATAAGCAACTATTGTCCAAAACATTTCAGTGTCTATGTAAGTTAATCTTATTTAATAGTTTTATTGAGATATGATTGAAAAACTGTTCATGTTTATGTATATATGGATGAGTTTAGTTGTAGGAAAACATGACACCATCACCACAACCAAGGTAACAGACAGGACAGACTCAATGCCACCTAAAGTTTCCTTGAGAACATTTTAAGTAAAAAGGAAAACTAAATGTAATCAGTGACTGTTTTTATCACTGTTCTTTTATCAATAACTATCACCTGAGGGCTGGAGAGATAGCTCAGCAGCATAAGCTCCTGCCTGGCAAGCACAAGGTCTTGAGTTCAATCGCTGGTACCACAAAAAAGGAGGTATTTCTCTTCAAAATAAAATAAAATTATAGTTTAAAAAACTGTCACCAGATCAATACGATGATACAGTACTTTGGGATTTTATTCCACGCAATGTTCATCTGAACCACCAAGACAATAAATTAAAACTGTTTCAGAACCAAGCTATTTTTAATCTTTTAATTTTCCTGAAAGTATATAACGCTCAATGTGAACCCAAACTTTAGATTCTTTACTAATATTATGATCATCAACAAGATGAAGATTCTTCCAAACTTTCAATTTTTCCCAGTTTTTTAAGTTGTAAGCAAATTCCCATGTTCATGCTTGCCAGATATAAAGTAGGACACCCAATGACATTTAGCTTAGTGCTTTCTGAAACTTCTGATCTCAATAACTTGGAACATATACTAAAAAATTGTTTACTTTTTTTGTCTAAAATTCAGTTTTAATGGGTATCTTGCATCTGTATTTGCTAAATCTTCCAACCCTATTAAAGGTACTAGCATACATCAAAATTAGTAAAACTTAGCCTCAGAAGGAGAGTGCAGTTCCATAAGAGGATATTGCCTCAATTTGCATCTTAGCAAACAGTAGCTCAGCCCGAATTAACTATATGAGGAAAAGAGCAACCTGCTGCCCATGCACATTACCATGGCCAGGCTAAGGACTGCCAAACGCTGTTCTTATCAAGACTAATTAGGATTTAGTGGAGATAGCAACGATCTTCCTTTATCATTAAGGTCTTCATCACAAGACAGGCTACAATTTAAGAAGTAAAAAAAAGTTTAAAAAAGGAAATTACAGCGAGATCTAAAAAGCCATTATAAATTCTAAACTACATCAGGTCAACCAGAAACTCATTGACTATTTCTCTTTTTAAACATGCCACCTACAAAGGATAGTATGTTAATACTCATAGCAATTGGAGAATTTTCAATTGGCATCTTGGGAAATGGATTCATTGGATTGGTAAACTTCATGGATTGGATCAAGAACAGGAAGATTGCCTCCATTGATTTAATCCTCACAAGTCTGGCCATATCCAGGATTTTTCTGTTGTGTGCAATAATACTAGATTGTTTTATTTTGGTGGCATATCCAGATGTCTATGATAATAATGAACAAATGAAGGTTATTGACTTTTTTTGGACCATAACCAACTATTTAAGTGTCTCATTTGCCACTTGCCTCAGTGTTTTTTATTTCTTCAAGATAGCCAGCTTCTCTCACCCCCTTTTTCTCTGGATGAAGTACAGGATCGACAAGGTGGTTCTTTGGACTTTACTCGCGTGCTTGGTGTTCTCTGTGGTTTTCAGCTTTCCCGTCACTGGGAATCTGAATGATAATTTCAGACGTTGTGTCAAGGGAAGGACAAAAACAAACTTCACCTGGAGGTGTGGAATAAATAAAGACCTGTATGCCTCAACCAAGGTATTCATCAACCTGGTACCATTGTTCCCCTTCACCGTGTCCCTGTTCTCCTTTCTTCTGTTGATCCTCTCCCTGTGGAGGCACACCCGAAGGATGAAGCTGAAGGCGACAGGCCACAGAGATCCCAGCACAGAAGCCCACGTAAGAGCCATGAAATCAGTCATCTCCTTCCTTCTCCTCTTTGTTGCTTATTGCTTGGCCTTCCTTATCGCCACCTCCAGCTATTTCATGCCAGAGACTGAGTTAGCTGTCATTCTGGGTGAGTTGATAGCTCTAATTTACCCTTCAAGTCATTCCTTCATCCTAATCCTGGGGAACAATAAATTAAGACAGACATCTGTCAAGGTGCTGTGGAAAGCAAAGTGCATTCTAAAAAGAAGAAAAAGTTAACATGAACAGATCAGAAGAGAAGTTGCCATTTTCTAGAACAAAGGAAAATAAGAGCATTCTTAATTATCTCATAAGTGAAATAAATCAGAGCTATGTGTGCAAACATCATGTAACATCTAGTGTGAGAATCTGAATGAGGAACTGGGACAAAAAATGTACAATAGGTACTGTAAATTGGGGAGAAACTGTTTAAGAGAAAAGAGAGACTGATGGGGGAAAGAAAGGAAGAGGACAGTGACAAATATGTATATACACATATAGATATAGATATATAGATATAGGTATTTATACTGCTAGTTTTTCTTACTTCATTGAAAAGAGGGGCTGGGTAGAGAGCACAGAAGAATAAGCGCTTGCCTGGCTAGCACAAGGGTCTGCGTTCAATGCCCAGATCTGCCAAAAAAAAAAAAAAAAAAAAAAAAGAAAAGAAAAGAAAGAAAGAAAAAAAGGCTTGTGTTAATATTGTTTGGACAATCTCTCATGCCCATATATTGTACTCAAAGTAACTATTCTGAAGATAACAGTATGCAATGTATTAATTATTATTACTCTCCTATTATCTTGTTTGAAATTCTGTTTTGTTTTCTTTTTAAAATAAAAAATTTATCTCAGTTTTTGCATCAGTGTTAGTTTTATGTGGTTAGTGACACTTGAATTGTCTTTAATATACTTATAATTTAGGACATATATTGAATAACTGTGCATGTGCAACTCTATTTCTCTTCTTTTCAGTGAGTGTTTTCAAAAAAATATTTTAGAACAAATTGTATTTAATTTATAACTTTAAGCAGGAGGAGAAGATATTCTCATAATTGCAAATCAATTCTCCAGATAAAAAGTACATAGTTTATTAAAATAACTGTAGTCAGATCTGGAGGTTATTTGTATCCTTATGAAAAACAAAGGTTTTCAACCTGTTGATCCTAATCAGACTTTTCTCCTTAGATCATTCAACTTAGCTTCACCTTTGGAAAAGAATCAATGAGGTAATAACTCTTAATAAATGCTGTCAAATTGCGAGTGTGTCAGAAAGTAATCCTGATTATAATCATTGTTAAAATTAGTATAGGCTTACCTCAGCTGACTAAGTGCCTACTTTGACAAGCACAGGGACCACGGCGAGATCCCTGGTCCCGCATGCTGGGCCAGCCTTACCCTCAGGGTGCACTCAGCCAATGACCAAATCTAGCCATGGTGGTGCACACCTGTAATCCCAGCACTGGGGAGGCTGAAAACAGGAGGATCACCATGAGTCTGACCTGCATAGTGAGACTTTGTACCAAATACATTAAAAAAAAATTTTTTAAAATGGTTAGTTTAGGCTGCCAGGTGTAGTGGTGCAGGCCTGTAATCCCAGCACTTGGGAAGCTGAGGCAGGACAGTCACTGACAGTTCAAGGCCAGCCTGAACTGCACAGCAAGACCCTGTCTCAAAAAGGGGGAAACCAAAAAGAAATTATTTTAGGAGCATAGAATGAATAAAAGATACTCTAGAAGCAAGGAAGAAAATTTTTATGTAGAAAGTTTCTGTAAATAGAGAGTTTATTGTGTGCTCATGAAAGCAATTTTCTCCATGAAAAACACATGCTACACCAGGAAGTGATTGTCAGGATACTGTGACGTCAAGTTTAAATATTGCATTGTTTCTTTCCTGTGAGAAACCCAAAGGGGCAATCAGGAGTGATATGGAAGGCAGATACGGGGAAATAAGAACACTTCCAAAGGGGAAAGGAGGAAAAAATGGGGAGGATTTCTCAAAAGAGAATGGAAGGGAAAAATGGAAACAAAGCTATTGTAAATGAGGAGGGAAAGAAAGGATGAAGAGAGGGGAAGATGGGGGGAGTAAAGAATTAAGACACATCACATGCAGGTAAAAGTCCCTATGATAAATGGGATCATTATGTATGGTAAATATATGCTAACAAATTTTTTTAAGAAGGAAGAAAAGAAAAATAAAGACACTGTTAGAAGACCTTCAAAATGTGAGATGTGAAAATGTCAAAACTGTCAGAGAAACAGTGATTCAATTTAAATCATCTCTCTATGATGAAGAAATATTTGGATTGTATATAACATTTATAGGACATCAGTTTGGAACATTCTATCAAAAGCACCTCATTTGTGTGTAGAAAAAGATACTTCATGGTGACCAACTCCATTGCTAACCACCCTAGAGTATCCATGACCTTTGTGTACAGAAAAAAAAAAACTATATATAAATGGAGACAAGTTAAATATTCTCATTAACATATTTGGTACAAATCAAAATTATTTTCATGCTAGTTTCATTATCTGTTCTGTGAAGACAATGAAAAATATACACATCAATTTAACTGATAGATTTAAAAAGACTGAATGCATTTTAAATTAAAGAAACAATAGAAAACTAAATGCACAGGCTCCATCTTACCTTCCTTTACAATGAGAGAATAGGAATCCTTGCACTCCACAGATGCAGAGATTCAGCTTGCATGGATTTATTAGGGATGAGAACAGGAGAATCCTGAGGGATTATGGGAGTCTTGGCCCTGACCTAAAAAGATGAAACCCTTAGATTTCAGACAGGAATATTGAAGTGGGTGAAAGCACTACCAAAACTCCAGATTCCTTGAGTTTTTGGGTGATACCCCTCCTCTGTGTATGGAGTCACCACCCCACCTCCAGATACTGCTTGCTCCCAGGCGAGGCAAGCTGACATGTGCTCCTCTCAACAGGCTCCCTACTTCTCCCCCATACCTTGGGTGAACATTGCAGCACAGTGTGTTGGAGCTTCTGCTTCAAACAAAAAGTCATTTAAAGTGATTAAGTCATATTTTGTTAATATCTTCTTATGAATAGAGAATGTGTGGAAATGATGTTCAGGATGGTGAACTAAAGAGTCTTTGAGGGGGTGACCTTTATCTTTTAAGAGAGGGTCTCACTATGAGCTTCAGGTTGGCCTTGTCCAGATGGACATTGTAGCCCAGACAGTGGATCACGACTGAAGAACATTTCTGAAACTACTCAACTCTCTCAGCCAGAGCTTAGAAGAGACACCTATGCAGAAAAACTGAGCAGGGTTTTATTGAGGGAAGCTTTTGCCATCCCTCCTTAGATAAGCATACTATGATGTTAGGTGATTTTATAATTTGCTACGACATTCAGCCATTGGGGCACCCCAGCTCTGGACTCTCTCTGGAAGGTGATTTATGGCTAAAAGAGGAAGATGCAATAGTTCAAAGAAAGTGCTGGTGTCCACACAAAGTCAAAAACAGCAGGCATCTGAATCTTAAGGAGTTCAGCTTTATCAGTGGAAGCTCTGGGGCTAAACAGGTCATGAACTGACCCAGAAGTTGCCTTGTAAGGTTCCCAGGTAGGCTGACCCAGGAGGTGTTCTGTATGAATCCCCGCAACCAAATTCTTACTCCTCCTGTGCACACCCATCTTGCAATTTCTGACTGAACACCTTAACAAACCATGGGATAAATTCACCCGCTCCAGTCTACCCTCTTACCAACCTGCCCAGTCAGTAATGCCAGAGATAAAGACAAACCCTTGAGCCCACTCATACTAGGTCGAGGTCTATCTACCATAAGACCCCAGACTCAGTGAGCTCAATATCTAAGCCTGCCACTACTCCTTCAAGAAGTGGCAGGCATAAATGGTGCCCTCTTAGTTCAGGTCACTTTTTCTGTCATGATGTAGCAGAAAATGTCCCCTCCCCAGTCACTCTACTTCAGTTTCTTAGTTGCTCAGGTAATAGTTCATGTTCCTCTTCTGCTTATCTCCTAGAAACTACTAGTCACTATGATATATATTGTAAGAACCAATCCCCAATGACAAACCATTCTGTCTCTGTACTTCCTGCTTGCTTATCCCATATAAGCCCTAGACCACTGGAGATCAGGATCTGATATTCTGGGAATAATTCTAATCAGTGCCCATTGATGTAAATACAAGTGCCTCCAAGTCCTGGGTGTCTTCTTGGTTTCTGCTTGCCATTGCAGTGGATATTCAGCAATACAAAGAAAAACTAGGTAAAATTTCTGAGGACTCTAATTGCTGATGGATTTCTTGCCTTTGACAATGCCTTTTGATTTGATCTGGCAACACATCCAGTTCATCCAGCTTGTTTGTTGCTGTACAATAACAGAAAGAAAAAGGCCAGCCAAATAGCTCAGTGGATTAAAGTGCCTGCTTAGGCAGATGCAGTGGCTGGGGTTCAATTCCTGGTGTGCTGTGCCAGCCCCACCCCTGGGGCACACTGAGATGGTGATTGAAACTGGGCGTGGTGGTGCGCATCTGTAATCCCAGCGCTTGGGAGGCTAAACACAGGCAGATCAGTACAAGTATGATCTCTGTAGTGAGATCCTGTAGACCCTGTACTAAAAACACACAAGAAAAAAAAAAGAAAGAAAGAAAGAAAGAAAGAAAAAAAGGATTACAAGGGCTAAAAGTTAGGCCAATGGTGGTGTGAAGATGCACCCACTGATAATCAGCCAACTGATGCAGAATTTGGGGACCAGAGAGGCCTGAGGTGGAATTATAACCCTGGGAATGGAGAAGCCAAGAGGAGGTTATACATCAGGGCCATCTTAGTGGGTATGTGTCAGAGCGCACTCAAGCCTATGAGTTATGATAAACTCAGGGCTATCAGTCAGGGGTCTGATGAAAATCCAACTGCTCTTCAGCACCATTCTGAAAGGGCTCTACATAGGTACACTAATGTAAACCTTGAGTCTAGGAAAGTCATACACTGAGTCAGAGGACAAATAGGACTTGAAAAGGAACAAACCATGAGAGGAAATCAAGCTGACCTTAATGGGTAAAACTCAGTTAAGTGTATGTTGGCCCCAAGGGGAACTGCAGTCCAAAGGTGATGGAGGTGAGTCTGTGTGCTTCAAGTACAAGTGATCAGAGTCCTGGGCAAAGGAGCACCTCAAACCCATCTAAGTCCCTGCTGGGGCTATCTGAGCTACTGATGAAGACCTGTGGCATTGGAGGAGGGACCTTCCTTGAGGT